TGGCCTCACAGTGACAGCCATCGCTGCTGGCCTCTGGCACTCCCTCGCCCTCGCCCTCCCTGCTGGCTCAATCTGTGGCCGTGGTGCCGCTACTGGTGGTGATGTCAGGTGGTGATGCTGACGTGGAGGTGGACGGTGCTGACGTGGAACTGGAAGGCGGTGACGTGTACAGCTGGGGAGGCAATCAGTTTGGCCAGCTGGGCACTGGAGACACGGCAGCTAAGGTGTAAACAAACACCGTTACCAAACCAGCATTACCAGGGTTATTGTGAACGTGTTAATGCTCTTGTTGTTGCTCTTGTTGTCATCATGTTCTTGAGTGTGTGTCACATGTCTTCTCTTGTTTGTGCATCGTCCTCCTTCCCTATCACGTGTCACTGACTTGCTGTCTCTGTTTGTTCCCTCCTGTGTTTGTGCGTATGTGTGCCCGTGTCTATTGCCCTGTCAGGTGTTTCCAACGCTACTGGATTCTCCAGATCTGGACAATTGTTCGCTGAAAGGGATCTCCTGTGGAGCACGGCACTCGGCCGCTATTACCACCAACGGCACTCTTTTCGTCTGGGGCTCCAACAAGTTGGGCAGGTGTGTGTGTGTGTGTGTGTGTGTGTGTGTGTGTGTGTGTGTGTGTGTGTGTGTGTGTGTGTGTGTGTGTGTGTGGTGCGTGCGTGCGTGCGTGCGTGCGTGCGTGAGTGTGTGTGTGTGTGTGTGAGTGTGTGTGTGTGTGTGTGTGTGTGTGTGTGTGTGTGTGTGTGTGTGTTTTGAGACCTCGTAACTCGGCTGTCACCATTTGTCTGGGGCTCCAACAAGTTTGGGCAGGGGTGTGTGTTTTGAGACATCTCAAAAGTCTGTTCTCACCACCGACGGTCATCTCTCTTATGGGGCTGCATTAAGTTTGGACAGGTGTGTGTGGTACACTTTCTCGTGCATCTAAGCCCAATCTTCATGGTTCTAGGTTTCACCCATCGCTTCCATGCATACAACCCTTTTTGATATTTATGTTTGTCTCGCCTTGCACCCGTGTTGTGCATCGAACCCAACCCGCATGCATTGATCCCCACTCACAAGGTGTATTCATTCACCCATGTGTGCAACTGACAGCTCATGTTCTTTGTGGTCCATCTAAACATGTTGTAAATTCTTTTCATTGTGATCATGACAGCTGGGACTTGGTCATACGAAAGACACTCACTCCCCTCATGCGGCTACCATGAAGAAGTTTGACCAGAAATGTGGCGACAAATACAGAGCCGGTACCGGTAGTAAAAAAAGAATGTACGAGCATAATGTGCACGTGCAAGATGTCAAGTGTGGCTGGTGGCACACTCTTGCTATTGTCAGTTGTGGTGTAAGCAATAAGGAAAATTATTGATGATAGGTTGATTACACAGCTTTAGTGGACTCTTCCTTGTCGAGTGTTTGCCTCCCCACCTTCCCGATTGCACCTCGTCGATTGGTCGATGGAGCTCGTCCAATCAAGGTGGTAAACATTGATTTGCCACTCTGCCAACCCCAAAACCTGCGTCCTGCTCACCACAGAAGCACTCTTTCTGACGTGTCGCTGTTCTTGCTTCTGACTAGTGATTGGAAAATTTGTGTCTCGATGATCGCGACGAAGGCTGACGAAATTTGCCCGCCAGACAGAGTTCAACGTGTAACAACTGACACGTCAAGTTCCGTGAACCTCACGTCTGCAGCGGAAAGCCATTTCGCCGTGGCAAGACAGGAGGTTCACCACACGATTACCAAACCATCAAACCACAAGCTTTGATCTCTCTCATTGGTTCCAAACGTCTCACTATCACGTAAGACCGAACCACAATAGTGCCATCTGGCAGGCAAAGAGTGAGTGTTACGCTCGGCCGAGGCTTCACTACAGGCTGGATTCATTGTTCGGAACCTGCCTTGGAACTTCCACATGAGAAGCTCGATTCATCATTTTTGCCTTGCTGTGGTTCAAACTTCCACCCTATCGTTTTCTATTTCATCTTACCCTGCCGAACTGCCTCACAAACCTGGTGTGTGAAGATTTACGACTGCGCTTTACATATTCATCAACAGCTTCTTGCGTTTGGCTTTTTCATCAGAAGTTCATAACACAGCCGCCATTGCTTCCCCAATTATGCGAGTATGCATGCGAGTCCACTTCCTCAGCAGCCAACTCCGCGAGAGGAATGACAATCAAACGGCTTGGATTGAAATTTCGACTGCTACGAAGTGTAGCGCTCCGAAGTGGCGATATATTTCGTAAGCCAGTTTCGGTTTTCGTTGTTGTTGCTTCCAGCTGCGAGCCTTTGGGCTAGTCCTCGGCGATTCTGTTCAGAGTACTTATCGTGTATATATATGAATTAATACCTTGACACGTCGCAAAAATAGTCGAGTCGCCATGTTGCTGGTACACGTGGCAGAGAGCGGTAGGTCGTTCGAACTCCACTGCGGCGCGGACACGCCGGTAGATTCTGTCTGCGATACTCTCGCCTCCCTAACCGCCATACCTCCTCAGGACCAGCTCTTAATCTGCCGCGACGTGCGCCTCGAGCCCGGACGGCAACTCGGAGCGTATCAACTTCCCGATGCTGACGTGGACAGCAGTATCAATGACACAGCAGGCGCGGTCGACACGTCGCGCTCCGCATCTCACGGACACTCCCGCCCAGTCTTTCTTTTCAATAAGATGCGCCTCCTTCCAAAATCTCCTCCTCCCGCGGTAGAAGAAATCGAGGAAATAAGTGTACAGAATTGATTATAACGGTGGGTGAGCCTGGCGGCGAAGCCGTTTTACATCCGTTAGACCGGTCGGGTAACCCGCTCCTCGAGCCATTCCCTCCTACGAACGGCAGTTTCGTCAAGATCTGTTACAGGCTCAGGCGTATCTCGCGCCAGCCAATCGCGTTTTCGACACGTGTCGGCGGCTCCTGCAGGAGCAGCACACGCAAGCAGAAGCCGTCCGTCCGGATCTGCCAGCATGGAGGCCATGGCCCTCCATATAGTCACATCGTTTGCGGATTTTCAATCTTTCGTATAAGCAGCAGTACAGCCGTCACGAGCTCCTTCTGCGAACCTTCCACCGGAACCTCCGCGCGTTGCACTCTTGTCGTTTACTGGCGCCCGTCCGGGCGGCAACCGGGTGGCAGAGCCTCGTGCAACTGGCCAAGGAGCCGCTGGCTGCAGCAGGCGTTCTCGGAGTGCCACGTGGCGCACGCTCAGATGGCCACGAAGGTCGCTGAGCTGGAGCAGCAGTTTCAAGACACGCGGGCGGGAATCGAGGAGCTGATAGGCGGCGGGGGAGGGGGAAGCGGAGAAACCGCAGTCAGCGGACCTTCGGCTGAGCTGCTGCAGGGGCCGCGGGCGCAAACGCGGGGCTGCGGGTGCGGGCGCGGAAGGGCGGCGGAGGGAGGCGGAGGTGGTGCGGGAAGTGGAAGGGATGGTGGAGGAGGGACACCGGCTGCTGGAGGAGCAAGCAGTCATCCTTGGCGTTCTCGGGTGAGTTGAGTTGCGTCTGGGAGCGTGTTGTGTTCATTATCTAGGGCTGAGCTCAATGCCTTTCGCAGTTCTTGTGAGCATCGGGGATGGTGGAGGAGGAGCACCGGTGCTGGAGGAGCAACAAGTCATCCTTGGCGTTCTCGGGTGAGTTGAGTTCCGCTGGGTTCAGTTGTCTCATCGTGTTCTTCCTCCCTTCCTCTTTCCCGCCCCCCCCAGCAATGACTCCAACACAGTGTGGCAGCTCCCCACGACCGCACTCTCTCATGCGCCATATCTCCTCCTTTGTCCTTCGTCCCCCCTCTCTCATCTCCTATCCAGGATCTCAACACAATGAGGCAGCTATTACACGACTGAACGCTCTCATGCGCCACATTTCATCCCCCCCTGCCTTTCCCCCTCCCCTCCCATCCGCTCTTCCCCCTCGCCGTTCCCCCGCCCTCTCCCCTCTCCCCCTCCCCCCAGCAAGGATCTCAACACAGTGAGGCAGCTGCTACACGACTGCACGGTCTCAGTTACCCACTCCTCCTCCTCCTCCTCCCCCTCCTTCTCCCCTCCGCCTCCCCTTCCCGCCTCCTCCCCCCTCCCTCCCCTTCTTCCTCCCCTTCCTCCTCCTCCTCCACCTCCTCCTCCTCCTCCTCCCCGCACCTCCAACCAATCGAAGCCGTTGCTGCCCTAGACCCAATCTGCACCGTCCATTCCTCCTCCCTCCTCCCGCGGATCTCAGCCATCGATTCGCACCTCGCGGCTCTCGTCCAATCAGCGCGCGCCAGCAAGATCGCTATGACGAATCTCGTCCACACGCGCATGCAGGCCGTCGCCAGGTGGCAGTCCCGGGTTCGTGGATTCCGAAACCGCCTGCACGCGTTCAGAGAAGCGATTTCCCGCCAAGACGCGCTCTTCTCGCTCCTCGCCTCCGCCCGGGCTTTAAGAGGGGCTTACGCGGATTGTATAGGGGAAATCGCCCGCAGAAAAGGGTTCGGGATGGGGTATATGGGGCGGGCACAGCAGGTGGCAGAGGAGATGGCGAGAGTGAGAGAGGAGGAGGTGGAGAGAAGGGAGAGGTTCTGGCAGCGGCAGGGAGAGTTAGGGTTGGTGCCTCGGGTGGTGATAGAAGGGATGGGGTTGGGGCATGGGTGTGTGCCTAGTGTGTGTACTGTGAGTGTGGCGCCTTTTGATGAGGGATTGGTGAGTGTGGGGGAGGGGGATTTGCCTGTGTGGGGGGAGGAGGGGGAAGGGGAGGGGGAAGGGGAGGGGGAAGGGGAGGGGGACGAGGGGATGGTGTGGGACGAGTGTGGGGGAGGAGCAGGGGGATATGGCGTGGGAAGGGGAGGGGGAGCGGGGGAGGGGGTGTTGGGGAGGTTGGAGCGAGAGGGACAGGGGGAGGGGCTTGGTGGGGGGCAAAGGGGAGGAGGAGAGGAAGTGTTGGGGGGGAGAGCATGTGGGGGGGGAGTGCGCTGACTGGCCAATGGAGTGCCCTTGCGAGTGATTCTAAATTAGGGGCGAACATCAATAGCAGTATCGCACATGTCTATGACGAGGATGACACAGCTGGCAGCGCCTTCCCCTCTCACCATCACCACCACCACCAGCAGCACCGGCAGCAGCATCATGCTGACGTGGACGAGGAGGACGCTGACGTCAGCCAGTCGAACGATGACATGGCGGGCGGCAGGAGCGCGGAGGAGCTGGCAGTGGATAACATGCGGCTCAGAGCGGAGCTGATTGCACTCAGAGTGCTGGGCGCAGCTGGGGCAGGTGCTACTGGGGTAGGTTTATCCGGGGTAGGTTCATCTGGGGTGGGTCAACTGGGGTAGGTGTATCTGGGGTGGGTTTATCTGGAGTTGGGTCTGCAGGTGAAGGTGCGTGTGGAGGGGGAGGAGGGGGACACGTGGCGGAGGAGTGGCAGCAGCTGGTGCAGGCGCTGCAGCTGAGGGAGCAGGTGGTGCGGCATGTACAGGTGGCGTTGCGTGATAGGCAGGCGCAGGTGGAGGCGTACGAGCGGCGAATCAGAGAGCTGGAAGGGATGCTGGGCGATATGAGCCGAGATATTTCGAGAGATATGGGTAGAGACAAGGCTGATGTGCGGACGAGTGACGCAGTCACAGAGGAGGTGGAGCAGGAGGGCGGAGAACACATTGAGGAGGGTGCAATGGAGGAGGGGAGGACCGTGGAGAAGAGAGTAAGTCAGGAGGGAGAGAGAGAGGAGGAGGGGAAGAGTGAGGAGGAGAGAAGGAGAGAGGTGGCAGGGTTGCAAGAGGAGGTGCAAGCCACGTTGAGTGAGGTCCAGTCGTTGCAATCGAAGCTCACTGCGACAGAGTCGCAGCTATCCGCAGCGCAATCAAATCTGTCTGCAGGAGAATCAAATCTGGCCACTGTCCAATCGAAGCTCACGGCGGCGGAAGCCAGGCTGGCAGCCGCCGAATCCCAGCTGGCAGAGGCCCGTGATGAGTCAGCGCGGCTGGAAGGGCTGCTAAGCGAGCGCCAGCGCTGAGCTGGACGCTCGCACTGTAGATATAAATAATATTACTGTAGATTTTAATGCTTGTAAAGAGGAATTGAGTCTGTGTATAGTGGAGCGTGAGAGGAATCAGGGGCGGCTGGAGCAGCTGCAGCGTGAGCTGGATCAGGTGAGTCAGCAGCAGAGGCATGAGGCTGCCAGAGTGGCGGATCTCGAAGCTGACGTGGCACAGAAGGATGCTGAGCTGGCAAAGCTTGCTGCTGACCTGGCGGCTGCTGAGGTGGTGGCGGGAAGGCTTGCTGAGCTGGAGCAAAGGGCTGGTGGGCCGGTGCAGCTCCAGCAGCTGGTAGTGAGGAGGTGGGGAGCGGTGGAGAGGTGTGGAGTAGAAGGGGCAGCAGCAGGAACTTGGGAAAATAAGGATGGTTTGACAGCTGGTTCGGAAGCTGGTGCGGGGTTGGGCCGGCAGGGCAGTGACGTGGCAAGACACGTGGAGGCATTGGAGGATTCAGGTGCCACGTCAGCTGGGCAAGGCAGTGACGTGGCGAGACAGGTGGCGGCGCTGGAGGAGGCGCTGCGGAGGAAGACTGCCATGCTGGCAGAGTGCCAGCTCAACTGCGCCCACCTGGAGAACCGGCTGCACGAAGCTAGGAGCGAGGCTCGGAACGAGGCTCGGAGGAGCGAAGCGAGGGCTGAGGCACGGAGTGAGGGGAGGAGCGAGGGGCGTGCGGTTACAAGCGCCGAGGTAGCAGAGTGGCAGCGCAAGTGTGCTGATCTAGAGACCCGGCTGCACGAGGCGAGGAGCGAGACACGCACGCTGCGCTGCGCCGCAGACCGGCGCGCGGCGGAGAGCGGCGGGTTGCGGGCGGCAGCGGTGCGGCTGAGAGGGCTGATGGAGCGAATCAACCGATGCTTACAAGCAAACAGCCTTGGGGGTGTCGTGGAGGGGCTTTCCGGCTTGGCAGACTCGCTGGGAGAGGCGACGGGTGGAGTCGCTCCGGCAACAGGTGGAGCTGTTGCTGCTGTGGCTGCTGCTTCTGCTGGCTCTGCTTCGGGCCTGAGCAGGAGTGCCGTTTTAGCTAGCGGCTTGAGCAGCAGCAGCATGGCTGATTCTGCAGCTGCTGCTGCTGGTGCTGCTGGTGCTGCTGCTGCTGCTGGTGGTGGTGGTGCTGCTGCTGCTGCTCCTTCTGCCCCTGCTGCTCCGGCTGCTGCTGCTCCTAGTGTCCCAGCGGCAGAGGAGTGGGTGGTGGCGGCGGTGAGGGCAATAGCATTGGGGGTGGGGCGGGTGGTGGAGCGAGGGCGCAGGGCGGAGGGGGACGCGCACCGCCTGGCCCGGCAGCTGCAACGCACGTCAGATGCACTCGTGGACATGTCTTCAAAGCACGAGCTGGTGAAGCAGGTGAGGAGATGGAGAGGTGAGGAATGAGGGGTGAGGAATGAGGGGTGTGTGTTCTGCTGGCTTTTGGTAAGGAGAGTGAAGGGTTAGAGGAGAACAGAGGATCCTGCACCAGGATCAAACCTCATTACTCCCTTCCTCCCTCCCTTCGCCCTGACCAACAGATTGCGCTGCGCGTGAGATGATAGCATTGACACGTTACCACACGCACGACATCGCTGCCTTGGTGCCCGTGGGGAGGGGAGGGGCAGCTGCTACCACGTTCTCTGCTCGCCCGATGCCGATTTTTGAGTCGACTCAAAATCGACTTACTACATGCCATGCCTCTCTTCCATTCCCCTCACTCCGTCGCGCATTGAGGCGGTTTTTAAGGCGCCTCAAAAACCACCTCAATGCTACCACGCTCTCTGCTCGCCCGATGCCATGCCTCTCTTCCATTCCCCTCATGATTGAAGATGTGGTTTGAGACGTCTCAAAACTTCAATCACATGCCATGCCTCTCTTCCATTCCCCTCACTCCCTCGCGCTCTTCCTCCCTCTCTCCCTCCCTCCTGTCGTCTGTACCAACAGATCGCGCGTGAGAGGACAGCCTTCGCTCGTTTCCACACGCCTGACATCGCTGCCTTTGTGCCCGTGGGGAGGGGGGGGGGCCACTACCGCGCGCTCGGCTCGCCTCAGTTGCACCTCCCCCACCTTCAGTGTTCCTTGCCTCTCCCCCTCCCTTCCTCCATCCCTCCCTTCAGATCGCGCGTGAGAGGATAGCTTTTACCCGTTTCCACACGCACGACTTCGCTGCGTTTGTACCCGTGGGGAGGAGGGGCGGCCGCCACTACCGCGCGCTCTGCTCCCCAAAGCTATACCTCCCAGCTTCATGACCCCTTGCCCCTCCCTCCCTATCTTCATCTAAACCATCAGATCGCGCGTGAGAGGATAGCTTTCACCCGATTCCACACGCACGACATCGCTGCGTTTGTACCCGTGGGGAGGGGCGGCCGCCACTACCGCGCCCTCTGCTCCCCCGATGCCGCTGCTGTTCCTCTCTTCCTTTCCCCTCACTCCCTCGCTCTCTTCCTGCAACAGCAGCAGCTGCATCAGGGGCAGCAGGGGCAGCAAGGGCAGCAGCAGGGGCAGCAGGAGGGGCAGCAAGGGCAGGGGCAGGGGGAGAAGCAGCAGGGGCAGGGACAGGGGCAGGGGCAGGGGCAGGGGCAGGGGCAGGGGCAGGGGCAGGGGCAGGGGCAGGGGCAGGGGCAGGGGCAGGGGCTGAAGCATTGTGATATGCTGTACCCAGTGATTGTGGGTCGCATTGTGCACATTGAACGCAAGATTGCTGCTGCTGAAAGCACTCCCAACACTGCCGCTGCTGTTGCCGATGGTGGCATTGATGGTGGTGGTGATGGTGCCAATGTTGCTGTCAGCAGTGCTGTTGCTGGTGCCAATGCCACTGATGCTGGTGCTGATGGTGCTGATGGGAGTGTCAGAAGCAGCAGAGGTAGCACCAGCAGCGTAACCACGTCCTGCCCCTATGGATTGCTTCCTGGTGCTCCCTATGCCGTGGTTACCATTGCAATGCTCCCTGCTGCTTCTGCTTCTCTCTCGTCTTCCACACCTTCTGCTGTTCGTGCTGCTACCGCTGCAGCTGGTGCCAGTGCTGCTGCTGCTCCTGCTGCGCCCGCTGCTATGTTTGCTGCTACGTTTGCTGCTACTGGATCAGCTACTGGATCTGCGTCTACAGCTACTGGTTCTGTTGCAGCTGTCACGGCCGCTACAGCTGCTGCAGCAAGGGTTGCAGCAGTGGCTGCTGTTGCAGCAACCATGGGAGCCACATCAGCACCAGCAGAGGCGCGAGGGTCACCAGTCGGTGCACCAGATTCGAGCAGGGTTACTTCTGCTTTTGCCCTGGTTAACACAGAAACAGCAAGCCAAAGCTCCATTCCTTGAGTTGACCTAACGCTGTCAGCAGCAGACTGAGTCTGACGGGATGAGAGCTAGCATCCGCAACAGCCGACGTGCCTGGAGTGGCAGGGCAGCAGTAGCACCAGCAGGGCAGCAGTAGCACCAGCAGGGCAGCAGTAGCACCAGCAGGGCAGCAGTAGCACCAGCAGGGCAGCAGTAGCACCAGTATGCCAGCGGCAGCAGAATGAGTCTGATGGGATGAGAGCTAAATCCGCAACAGCCGCCGTGCCTGGAGTGGCAGCTTCTGAAGCGCTCTAAGAGATGACTGGCAGCTTCTAAGGCGCCTTCATGAACCATGGAGAGGCAGGGTCCTGTGAAGTGAAGGCCCGAGAATTGTCTGACGAGTATTGTGACCTCCGGTGAGCGCCAGTATGCCACCAGCAGCAGCAGCTGCTGCTGATGCTGCTGCTGCTGCTGCTGCTGCTGCTACAGCAGCCGGTGTGTGTTTTGGGCCTTGAAATGTTTTGAGACGTCTCAAAACCCTTCTTCTTACACAGCAGCCGGTGTGTATTTTTGGCTTCAAAATGTTTGAAGAGTACCGTATTGTGACCTTGGAGGAGATTCTGTGAGCACCAGTGTGCCAGCACCACCAGCTTCTGCTGCTGCTGCTGCAGCAACAGGAGCAGCAGCAGCAGCAGGAGCAACATTGAGGTTTGGGAGAATGGGCCATTTGAATGACGGCTGCATATGGTATTCTGCCTGGATGTTGTGCGGTGCAGTACGGTGCTGTGCTGTGCTGTGCGGTGCTGTGCTGTGCGGAGTGCTCTGCGGTGCATGATGTAGTGTGGCATACAGTGGGACGTGGCAGGGTTGAGTGCCTATGCAGGATACGTAGCAGGCAATCGAGCTGTTATATATCGGACCTGGTGCACTCTGGTAGGTAGCATCTCTTACTACTGTAGTATGCTTGGGGCTGTACAAAACTTGGGTGTGGTTGGTACTTCTGTTGGTCAAATCGAGTATTATTCACTTTCACTACCGTTTGCCAGTACACATGACGCATTTGAAAAATGATATTGGAAAAGAGTCAGAGCGTGTTCCTACGGGCCCCTATCAGGCCAGCCCCTTGTCAGACTCGCCTCACACACCAGAATTTCGGATTAAACGCATTTTGTATGAGACGTTTTGACCGTTTGTGAAGTGCGCGACAAAATGCGTTGGGTGACGTGGCACTGCGCAACGGTCCCGAAAGGTTGCAAAGGAGAAATATTCCGAGTTCAGACAGATTCCAGGCGATCGTGACGTGTGTTTGGCGGAAAAGTCTTTGTATGTTTCATACCCGACAAAACAGCATGTGTGAAGAATTTCGCACGATTCCCTGACCATGGCTCGCTGAAACAGCACCTTTTGAAAGATTTCGCGCGATTGCCTGACAAGGGTCACTGAACAGCACGTGTCAAAGATTTCGCTCGACCAATTCATCGAACAGCATTGTAATTTTTCAAGTCCGGAAAACGGTGTTAATAACGAAATCGCTCGCATGCACCAGCCTGACAAGGGGTTAGCCTGATAGGGGTCCGTAGGAACACGCTCTCAGTTGTGCACCACGAATTTGTGGTTTAATATACCACCCTAAGCAGTAGGAGTGTGGAAATATATAAAATTGAGATGATTCCACTGGGTAGGAGATATGTTACAAAGAAAAATGCTACCCGTCGCATGAATAAAGTTGTTGAGCCATGTGCTATTCTTTTGTTATTTTAGCGAGTTCCTTCAGCTTGGTGTAGATCTCATCCACAACTTCCTTCTTGTACTCCGTGCCTGCAAAAGGAAGGTGCTTGGAAGCAACCCGCCGGTCAAAGTAGAAACCCCCATTGACCAGCTTTGACTCGGGTTGACTCGCCAGCCAGGCTATGGTGTCTGCCCCCTCCTCTGGCCTCCTCAAAGAGGTCTTGAACCTGGGGGAGGGGGGAGGATTGATGAGAGTAAATTACCCGAACAGTAAATTTGACTCACAAGCCACACTATCGTGTCTGCCCCCTCCTCTGGCCTCCTCAAAGAGTTCTTGAATCTAGGGGAGGGGGAGAGGAGCGGATGACATTTGTACCCTTTAAGATGCATGTACAGTCAAGTTGACTCGCCAGCCACACTATCGTGTCTGCTTGCCCCCTCTGGCCTTCTTAAAGAGGCCTTGAACCTGGGGGAGGGAGGAGGGATGGGGGGAGGAAGGCTTGTATCTCGTAAAATACTCAAACAGTCAAGTTGACACAGCAGACACACTATGGTATCTGCCGCACTCGTCTGGCCTTCTCAGCGAGGCCTTGGATCTGTGGAAAAAGAACGGAGGAAGGAGGAGGGAAGAGGGATGGAAGGGGGTGAGAGGGAAAGATGGAACAGGAAAGTGCAGATACTCCAGCCACATATGGCGGCATCCTCCCCCCTCCTCTGGCCTTCTAAGAGAGGACTTGAATTTGAAGGAGGAGGCAGGGATGGGTGGGGGGAGAAATGCGTGTCTTTTGCTATGTTGACAAGGAGAGGCAAAATGTGTGTAGCAAGTCATCTCGACCCACCGCCGCTTCAGAGGTGTATGTCCCCTCCTCCTCTGGTATTGCGATGACTGTGCACAAGCAAGAGCATGCCCACAGGCATTGACTGAGGCATTGACCGAGGCATTGACTGAGCATTGACTGAGGCATTGACTGAGGCATTGAACGAGCCATTGACTGAGGCATTGACGAGCATTGACTGAGGCATTGACTGAGGCATTGACTGAGGCATTGACTGAGGCATTGACTGGAGCATTGACTGGAGCATTGACTGAGTCATTGACTGAGGCATTGACTGAGGCATTGACTGAGGCATTGACTGAGGCATTGATTGAGGCATTGACCGAGCATTGACTGAGGCATTGACTGAGGCATTGACTGAGGCATTGAATGAGGCACTGACTGAGGCATTGACTGAGGCATTGACTGATGCATTCAGCACACATGAACAGATTCAAGTCGAGGGCTCACGTGTTGAACAGAATCCAGGCATGCTGGTTTGAAGGACGCACATACACATGAACGGCACACATGCCGCACAAGCACTCAAATCCAAGGGCTCAGATTCGAGGGCTCAGATTCGAGGGCTCAGATTCGAGGGCTCAGATTCGAGGGCTCACGTGTTGTAGAATCCAGGCATGCTGGTTTGAAGGACGGCCGTGTCGACCCACCCCGGGTGCATGGAGTAAAACCCTACTCCTGGCTGTACCCCATATAGCTCCGCCCACTTCTCTGTTAGAGCCACCTGCAGGGGAGTATGAACGAAAATTGTGCTTACCATGAATTCAGGCTGGTTGAAAAACCACTAAATGGGACTGAAATGTGTCAAAACAAGTGTGGGAGTGAGACATTGTTAGCTCTCACAATGCTCGGCCTCTTTTTTACCCGCACACACCTGCACTCTCTTGTTGCGAGCATATGCATCAGTCCCATCAAACTTGGTGTCTTCCATTTGCAGATCGGTGCTGAGCGGTTGAGTGAGAATGCCCCCAGTGGCCACAGTGATGACTTTTGATTCTGAGGCTGCCCGCTGCAGCAACGGCAGGAGTGCTTCGGTCAGAACAAAAGTTCCGAGCACGTTCACTGCAAAGTTGAGCTCAAACCTGGAGGGGATGACAAAACGTGGGAGGAGAGGAGGCAAGAGGGAAGAGGCAGGAGGGAAGAGTGCATGGGAAAGAATAGGGAGAATGATACCTTCATTCGCTCTCCAGCCCATGAAGCCACTCTCTCAGTGCTCTCTCTCTCTCACACTCACCCATCAGGCGACGTCTTCTTTTTATGCTCCATGATCTCGGCATGGTTCACCAGCACGTGAATGGGCGTGTCGTGTGAATCCCCCCATTCTGTCACTCTCACACCCTCTCACAATGGCCCTCTCACAGTGACACTCGCTCACCGATCAGGCGGCGTCTTCCTCTCATGCTTCCATCACCCCAGCATTGTTCATCAGCACGTAAATGCGCGTGCCAATGTCCCCACAGTGCAACTCCCACTCACACCCTCTCACAATGGCCCTCTCACAGTGACACTCGCTCACCGATCAGGCGGCGTCTTCCTCTCATGCTTCCATCACCCCAGCATTGTTCATCAGCACGTAAATGCGCGTGCCAATGTCCCCACAGTGCAACTCCCACTCACACCCACTCACAATGACCCTCTCACACTGACCCACGCTCACCCATCAGGCGACATCCTCTTTTCATGCTCCATCACCCCAGCGTTGTTCATCAGCACATGGATAGGCGTGTCGCGTGAATGATCCCATACGGTCACACCCAAACCCTCTCACAGTGACACTCACTCACCCATCAGGCGACGTCTTCTTCTCATGCTCCATCACCCCAGCGTTGTTCACCAGCACGTGAATGGGCGTGTTTAGCTCAGCTAGCCGATCAGCCAAGGAGCGCACTTGAGAGAGCGAGGAGAGGTCGCAGAGCTGGCGGGAAGGGAGGGCGGGGAAGGTTCTTTTGAGATAAAAGGGCGGGAAGGGCCACACTAGAATTGTCAATCCGCGAGGGGAGTGCACTTGAGAGAGCGAGGAGAGGTCGCAGAGCTGGCAGTTAGGGAGGGAGGGAGAGGCACGGCAACGAGAGGAAGGAAAAATTGAGATAGAGAGATTGCAAGGACCACCTTAGTCGAGCAGCCAGGGAGTGCACTTGAGAGAGAGGAGAGGAGAGGAGAGGAGAGGAGAGGAGAGGAGAGGAGAGGAGAGGAGAGGAGAGGTCGCACAACTGGCGGGCAGAGAGGGAGGGCGAGGGGAAGAAAGTGCGGAGGTGCAGAGGGATAGGACATGAGGGAGGAAGGGGTGCGGAGGAGAGAAGCCATGGGAATGGGTTATAATGAGCCGACGTGGGAGAGAGGAGACTGAGTAGGAAGAAACACCCACGTGCGGTGAAAAGATAAGAGAGCAAAATGAAAACACCATTACTCTTTAGCCCTCTGGGGCAAAAAAAAAAAAAAAAAAAAAAAAAAAAAACGGATCATTTTCTTTCCTCACCTGAAGAAACACCTGGTCGTTCCCTGTCTGGGCGGCGATCTCAGAGGCTGCTGCCGCCCCTCTGGCCTCGTTACGGCACACTATGTGCACCGTCGCTCCCCTGGGAGGGTTGGGTGAAAGGAGAGGGAAACGTGGGAGAGAGGTTGAGGAAAAGCGGGAGAGGCTGCAGCCCCTCTGTCTTCGTGGCGACACACTGTGTGCACCATGGCTCCCCTGGGGGGTTGGGGAAACGGTGGGGAGGGGAAGGGGGGAGGAGGAGCGTGGGATTGAGAAAGTGCGAATAGTGTCGTCCCTAAGGGGATTGGGGAAAGCAGGGGGGATTGTGTGAGGAGCGGGAAGGGTGGTAAAATGGGGGAAGCCTCATCTCCCACTTTTTCCCCTCCTTCCCTTGTATGCGCCATCCGCTCACCTCTGAGCTATGGCGGTAGCAGCGGCGCGACCAATGCCCTGATTTCCCCTCGTCGCCCATGCAAAGATGCCCCTACAAACCCCAACATGCTCCCCTTTGCACCACCCACTCACCTCTGAGCCATGGCGGTGGCAGTGGCGGGCCCAATGCCCTGATTTCCCCTCATCGCCCATGCAAAGATGCCCCTGCAAACCCCAACATGCTCCCCTTTGCACCACCCACTCACCTCTGCGCCATGGCGGTAGCAGCGGCGCGACCAATGCCCTGATTGCCCCCCGTCACCACGCACACGCGACCCTGCATGTCCCGCCGCCCCCGCGCGTCCGCTGCTGCAGGCTCGGCGCCCGTAGCACCGTCATGCCGAACCTCAGCTTCGGCATTCCGAACCTCATCGAGCCGCCGAGCGTCCGTGCTAACACCTGCTGTGGCCGTCTGATCGTCAGCGTCTTCAAACGACTTGGCGTGTTTCCTGGAGGTGGGCGAGAAGAAACGGGGGCGAGGCGGAGATAACGTTGAAAGTACGAGCTTGTGATTTCTGAGTCACCTCGAAGAACCCCTGTGGCCGTCTGATCAGCTGCATCTTCAAACGACTTTTGAGGCGCCTCAACGGCCGTCTGATCAGCTGCATCTTCAAACGTCTTGGCATGTTTCCTGGCGAGGATGAGAGGGTGAATTGGGGGCGAATTGGGAATAACATTGTGAGTTTGGAATTGTGACTTTTGAGTCGCATCAACGATCACCTGTGGCCGCCTGATCGTCAGCACATTCAGTCGTCTTGGCGTGTTTCCTGGCCTGGATGAGCGCGCAAGGCGGAGCAAGGGAAACGGAAAAAAAGAAAAGAAAAGAAAGGAAAAAGAAGGAGAGACGAATTCTTCAGGAATCGGAGGTGACTACATTGGGGCTCCGGGGTCACGACTGGCTAGGGGTGACGACAAGAGGGGCTATGGGTGACGACAAGAGGGGCTATGGGTGGCGACAAGAGGGGCTAGGGGTGACGACAAGAGGGGCTAGGGGTGACGACAAGAGGGGCTATGGGTGACGACAAGAGGGGCTAGGGGTGACAAGAGGGGCTATGGGTGACGACAAGAGGGGCTATGGGTGACGACAAGAGGGGCTATGGGTGACGACAAGAGGGGCTAGGGGTGACGACAAGAGGGGCTATGGGTGACGACAAGAGGGGCTAGGGGTGACGACAAGAGGGGCTAGGGGTGACGACAAGAGGGGCTAGGGGTGACGACAAGAGGGGCTAGGGGTGACGACAAGAGGGGCTAGGGGTGACGACAAGAGGGGCTAGGGGTGACGACAAGAGGGGCTAGGGGTGACGATACGGGGCCGAAGAACGAATTGGAGGGATGATTTTCTTGTTAGAGGGCCCTACGACAGCTAGGGCCCTCGATGACCTTTGACTTGGCAGGTCGGCGCCTAACGACTGAGTCTACTCGGCACCGACGCACGAGTTCGGTGGCGGTCATTAGTGACTACGGGTGACTGTGAGCTACTGCAGCGAACTCGGCGGAATCGGTGCTAGGAATGACGAGTCTTGGGGGTCGTAGGTGCCTTGCTTGTGAGGCACGCTGCTCACTTGCTGTGTTGGCAGGAGTAGCGTGCACGGTGAGACATTCCGGTGCCGAGTTGGGTTGGAAATGTGCGGGGCGCGTTCACCCACCTGCACAGCACTTTCGTGTGGGTTGGGTTACTCGCAGCGCCACGCAACAATTGTGCAACTCTTGCTTGCCTATATATGTTTGTGTTTGCTTGTGTGTTTGATACTTGATATCGCAATTCTACTTGGCCGAAATGCAACTTCAATTCTTACTAAGTCCTTCGAGGCAAACACTACCGAAACTCTACCAAGTTGCTGGCGCAACATCGTTCCCATAGAAGAAACTCTCTCGCTATCGCTACGCTCTCTAATATATTCCTTCATTTCTTACAGAAAGGCGCTTCGAGTGAAGTTGGCGTTGCCGTATGCGATGAACAACGCGTTGCGCAGGACCTGCGCAGAATGAAGGGACGCGCGGAGGGATAGAGGTCGTTAAAAAAAAAAGTTTGCGAAGAAAAGCGCGTTGCGCAGGGCCTGAGCGGAATGAACGGGCGCGCGGGAGTGGATGACGAGCGAAGTAAAACCGCGACATGTGAAATCGTGGTTTACTACCACTCCTAAACTGCAGCGCCAAATGATGAGCTCGATCATTCGGATATCTGCGGCCACGAACCTGCATGATGGCGCGAAAAAGCCGAGCGGAACAATAGGCTAACTCTATCCGCTTGTCGGGTGTCCTACGAAGTAAGCTGAGGGAGTAAGATAGCGAGCAACAGAGGCGCTAATACGGAGAAGTATTTGAATTCAAACAAGGGAGAATCAAAACTTGTACTCCCATTCCTGCCTCAGGTCAAGATGCTGTCGCTCGAAATGGAATTTCCTGGAAGATCGCCAGTCACGAAAGATCGAGGGACCTCCTTCGCCCACGTCAGCACTATTCTCGCTCTGTGATGCGGTGTTCTCCAGGAAGAGATACTTCATGCGAAAGCTGGACATCCTGGAACTGTTTTCGCTTACTTTCGTTTCTAGAGCTTCGGTTTGGCGGAATGGAAGTGGGTAGATGTTACGTTACAGTGACTTATGTGTTGCGAAATTAGCGAACATGAATGTGTGGGACTGACGTCAACATCATGTGGCACGAGAGGACGCCTGACTGGGGAGTGACGTGGTGCGGCTACCTCCTCTACATGCTCCACTCTTGTGGTCCATGTGGCACTCAACCAACATTTTGTCTACACGTGGATAAAACAAGCATAAATGCAACTATAACTGGTACAGTAAAGTATACAAACCACTAGGCATAGCCCCCTTGCTCTACTTGGCCACACGTGTCCGAAAGTTGCGAGCATTTGTGCCAATGAGAGGGGCAGTGTCTCCGGAACCCGAGCCTACGTTTCCCGCGAAGTGAAATCACGGCTGGTTACCAGGCCAGACCCGCAATTTCGATTGCACCCGACCAAACCTCCTGTCGCCGAAATTCTCGAGGCAGGCGATTCGGTCATGATCGCGGTCCGAGAGCCGAAATTGATCAGCTTGGGAATTGTGCTTGCGCCCCAACCCAACCTAACCAAAGCCCCCCCTCCGAAACCACTCATGCCTACACCAGCGAAAAACCCGTCATGTGTCCGCATCGTGTTTTTCGCTCCTAAAGCCTAAACCGAAGCTCCTTATCTACCTCCGTCGCCGCCTTATCCGATCCTTAGCCTCCTCAAGCCTTCTCATAAGGGCCATTCCGCAGAGGCAGCATATACTTCATCACTCTTACTTTTCCTGCTTGACAAGTCGCCCTGGATGCCCATACTTGCTCCAGACCGTGATCATTCTTCCAACTGCTCCAATGAACGCCGTGGGCAGTAGTAGCTGTCTTAGCATTAGGCCGTTCCAGGACTCAGAGCCTCTTCTAGACATCCCAGGGCCTTATTATATGGCCGAGGACATATTCTGCCTCATTCAGCAGCCTAGCAACGATCCCGACAGTGGAAACACCAGCTCTCATGCTGAGGCCGCTTTAAGATTAGAAACGTCTAGTTCCCCATCTCCTGAGAGTCAGTCGCATCTTAGAATGTGCACCACAGGCAACGATCGAGGATCCAACGGACAGAAACCCCCGCATCCCGCGGCGCGTGCCTCTGATGTCAGCGTGGCGGGTAGTACTGCCGTCCAGATGCCCCTGATCGCGCCAGGAAGCGTCAACGCGGATATCCTCGCTAATAACGTCACCAACAACCTTGAAGAGTCTCTGTTTCTTCCTCATTCGACGCAGATAACTGCCAGTGCGCTGCCGGGTATTACTAACAATAGCAATAATACTAACGCTTTTGGCAGATCGTTTTCCATTTACGAGCCTGGCAAGGGCGACCAATCGCTGCTGCTGCACCACGCAGATCCTACGTCCATCCCCGCTACAGGCGCGGAGCTCGTAAACTACCATCGCCCTTCGAATCGAAGCGCTGCCGCCACTCACGACGCCGCCACGTTCGCCTCTGACTGCACACCGTCGCCACGTGTCAATGAAACGGATTTTGCGAATTACCCAGCTCCGAGCTCCGCTGGCGCGTCCGGCGCAGCTGGAAGCGCGTACGCGGCCGTGAAATCCGACGACGAGAATGCCTTCAAATCCGCGCCAACTCAGCAACAGGTTGATCCAAGGGTCACCATTTATTCCCAGCAGCAGCCGGATCAAGGCATGCAATTTGACGGGAAAATCTCGGGCGTTGGTGTCGAGGGAAGAGTTGGGAGTGGAAATGTGTTGCAGGGCATGGGAGGGGAGGGAGGAAGGGGGTTGGGTTGCGACAATGTGGTAACCACTGAAGCAGCTCTCGCTGACGACGGTTTCTTCGTCTCGATGCTTGACGATATTGACTTCGCACCCGTTGTTGTTGGGCCCGCGGCGGTGACGATAGGTTACCAACATCTGAGGTTCAACCAGAACACAAATGCGGGGGTTATGGGTTCTGCGGCGGAGTCTCGTGCCCCAACTGGCTCAAATTTTCACAACTACGGCGAATCTTCTCAGCAGCAGCAGCCATTACAGCCGCAGCAGGCGCAGGCGCAGGCGCGAATCAAACCGCATTTTCAGCAGCAACAGGTGCAGCAGCAGTTCCAGTGTAACACGACTGGTAACCAACCGTCGCCGCTAGGGTTTACCAGCGGGCTTCCGACCCATGCTTCTCCGCCAAACGCGCAGCCCGTCAATCCCGCCGCCTTTCCCACGAGTAGTATTCAATTCGCGCAGTCCTCGTACGAATCGCCGCAACCAACCCTTCCGCCGCCCGCGCTCCCGCCAAGCCATCCCGCCGGTCCTTCCCAGCCGCCTGCGGTCAGCTATTACGGCGCTTCTGCTGTGACAGGAGGGTATTGCGGAGATTACGGCGCGCCTCACGTGCCCCCTTGCGCGGGACTTCCGCTTCCGCAGCCCGCGTCCCCGCTCGTCGTCTCTCCCCCTTCTTCTCCGCATTTCCCGGGTCCACCTCCCCCTCCCCGTTCCCTTCCGCCGCCTCCGCAAGCGGAATGGCCGGCGCAGGTTCTAACCCAGCCGCCGCAGCCGCAGCTGCAGCCGCAGCAGCAGAATCAGCCGAACGTTTGGCAGCCGCAACAGCAGCAGCAGCAGCAGCAGCAGCGGGTGCAGCAGGTGCAAGAGCAAGGGTGGTCGCAGGATGCGTCGCAGCAGCAGCTGAAGCGAGTGCGTGGAGATGCTTATGTCGCGTACGAACGCCAAGGGGATCTGATGATGCCACGAGAAAGCGCTCCAGGTCACCTTGGCGTGAACCAAGCTGAGATGGCTCGGTCTGACGTGTCACGAAGCCAGAGGGGCTCTGCTGTCCACGTGGCACAGGCGGGGATTGGCGGACATGGGGGATGGGGCTCCTCCAACCTCGGTACACTCACACCCGTTAAGAGGCACTTTCCAGGGTCCATGCTTTCACAGCAGCAACAGCAGCAGGGGGAGCTGCAGCCACGTCAGCAACACGTTCTGCCGAGTCAGCAGGGGTACTTGCAGCAGCAGCAGCAAATGCAGTATCGCCAGCAACAGCAGCAACAACAGCAGCAGCACCACTCTTACCAGCAGCGTTATCAGCAGCAACAGCAGCAACAGTCTTACCAGCAACAGCAGCAACATCAGCAGCAACAGCAGACACACAGCAGCTTCTACGCAGCTCCAGTCCCTCGGTCTGCCCCCCCACCCTCCACTCCCCCACCCATGCGCACCCCTCTCCCCCCTCCCCCCTCCACCCCCATTGGCGCTTTTCCTCCTTTCTCGCCTGCTGTGGCTGCTTCTGCTGCAACTGCTGGTGCAGCTGTTGGTGCTTCCATTGTTGGCGGTTCTATTGCTGTTGCTGGATCTCCCGCTGCTAGGGCTGCTGCTGGTACCAACGGTGGTGCCGGTGCCGGTGGTGCTAGTGATGATGGTACAGAGGCAGCAGAATGGATGGACGAGGATGGTCTGGGAAACGCTACCCAGGACTCGGAACAACAGGTACACATCCTCTCCCTCCTCTTTTTTTTTTTTTTTTTTTTTTTTTTAATTCTGGGAGCTATTCCTTTTTTCCTTTTCCTTGCCTGCTCCATGTTTGCATCCTCTCCATTACTTTTTTGAAACCCCCCACGAATCAGCTGCCTCAACTCATCCCTCCGTGCTTGCCTTGTCTCTCCCTATCTTGTCTCTTGCCCCCCAAACGCCCACCACCGCTCTCCACCCATCAGGACGAGCCCATCCGGCGCAAGGGCCCGCGCACCAAGTTTTCCAAGGAGGCGGTCGACTGCCTCAACTCGTGGTTCCTCTCGCACCTGCACCACCCCTACCCCACCGAGGTACTACCCATCTCCACCGCACTTCACCCCGCTCACCACCGAAGTACCACCCAATCTCACTATACCAAAATAACGTCCATCCTTCCACCTCATCCTACTGTGTTGCAGTCTCACTTAACAGATACTCTGTAAAAACAGAGTGGTCGCCTTTGTTCCACCACCCTCTCATCTCTCTTCTCCTCTTCCATTCCACACGCCTTCCTTCCCTTCCCTTCCCTTCCCCTCCCTTTTTTCCCCTGTCCCTCTCCCTCCGTCCACCCCTCCCTCCACGCTTCTCCCTCACCTGTTTCCCTGCAGAGGGAGAAGGCGGAGCTAGCAGCGAACTCAGGGCTGAGGGACACGCAAGTCAACTGCTGGTTCATCAATCTTTGAGTCGACTCAAAACCTTTCCCCCTCCCCACCCCACACCACCCCTCCTCCCCTTCCCTTTTCTCCTTTCCCCGTTTCCTCCACCCATGAGCAGAGGGAGAAGGCGGAGCTAGCAGCAAACTCAGGGCTGAGGGACACGCAGGTCAACTGCTGGTTCATCAATGCACGGGTGAGTTGACATACTCTTTTTTGACCGTTTCGCTGCTGTGCTGTGCAAGTAACACTCAGATTCAGTTACAAGTGCGTCAGTGTGGGTCAGTAAAACGCGTTCTAGCTGGTTCAATACTGTGCAGCAGATTTGAACACAGTTTTCTTTGTTTGTCTTATTTCTTTCTTTAATTATTTATCTCTTGTGTATGCATGGTTGAGTGAGTTCCCGACCCCCCATCCACTCACAGTGCTTCTCCCGTCCTTGTTGACTCCTTCGTTCTAACTGCAGATGAGGAGGTGGAGGAGGCAGAAGGACAAGTGGCAGGGCAAGCAGGGAGGGACGGCTGGTGGAGTGGGGGAGGGGAGGGGGAGGGACGGAGTGGAGGGAGGAGACGACAAGGGGGGTGGCAGCGGCTCGAGTGGTCGGCATGGGGATGGGAACGTGGTGGTAAGTGGATGAAGTAAGGGTGCAAGAAGGATGCAATAGCGATTCAATGCCATGGCACTAAAATTCTTGTTGTTTCTCGCTTACCGTTTCTCCTATCAAAACCCCCCTCTCATCTTTCTCCCTCCCAAACATCACCTGCTCAAAACCCACTCTTCCTATCCATCACACAACCACACAACAAACCTACCATCACTTCCGTTTGATGCAAAAAAACGATGAGAAATGGTCTCCTGCTGTCGATTCTCCTCTTCCTGCTGTGAGTAAACCCAAGAAATTCTCCTCTTCTCTCTGGACTAAAGATTTCCCCGTCTTCCCCTCTCCCCTTTCTGCGCAGGTCAGCAGGCATCCATCTCCAGTAATTAGCACACCACCCCTTGTTACCAGCACGCCTCTGCCCGAACCTACCAGCAGTCTCAACCAGCAGCAGCAGCAGCAGCAGCAGGTGCGGCAGCAGCAGAAGCGGTATTCTCCCTCTCCACTAGGCTGCAACACCAAGGGCGTCATGCTGAAGACTGGGACTGCCGCTGCTGGCTCGGCAGGCGGTTCCCCTGCTGCTGCTGGTCGCAGTAACAGTGCTGGTGCTGGTAACCACACGTGTGCTGGTAACGCTTCTACTGCTGGTGGTTTTGCTGAGCTGGCATATGAGGAGGAGGAGGAGGAGTGCCAGTTCGTTGACTCAGAAGACCCGCTTGACTCGGTTCTTCCCGCGCTGGCGCTGCTGCGGTTGCAGGTGAAGCGGTCTGAGGAGAATAAGGGGCAGAGGCGCAGGAAGGAGCAGCACGGGGAGCAGGTGCAGAAGCAGAAGCAGGAGAAGCAGAAGAAACAGAAGCAGCGGAAGCAGCAGCAGCAGCAGCAGCAGAAGGGAAAGGAGGAAGGGAATGCGGGATATTTGAGGCTTCTTACCAAAGGTGGAGAGGGGAGGCTAGAAAACCACGGAGGAAGTGAGGGGAGTGAAGGTGCTGAGGAGGAGGCAGAGGAGGGGACTGGTGGGGAGGGTGGCGAAGCTGAAAGCGAGGAAGAGGGTGCTGATTTCAAAGACAGGGAAAGCATAGAGGAGGAGAAGGGTGAGCAGGAGGCAGGGGCAGGGGAGGACGGTGATGGGGAGACAGAGAGAGAGGAGGGAGAGGAGGGGGATGACGAGGGGAGTGAGGAGGGGGATGAGGAAGGGGGTGAGGAGGAGAGTGAGGAGTGGAGCGAGGAGGAGCAGCTGAAGGCGATGAGTCTGAGGGACGTGTACAGGCGGTGCTTCGGGGAGGAGGTGGTGCTTCGGAGGAGCTCGGATGAGGGCGATGGGCAGGGAGGTGGGCACGGGGGTGGCGCAGGGGTGGGTAGGAGGGGCGACGGACAGGGCAGCGTACAGGGTGGAGGGCAGGGGAATGGCAAGGGGAATGGCAAGGGGAATGGGCAAGGCGTTGAAGATTTGGGTACCAAAGGTAACACCCAGGGGAATGAAGGGAGAGGTCAGAAGCAGCAGCAGCAGCAGCACATGCAGCAGACGCGGCAGCAGCAGCAGCAGCAGCAGCAGCAGCAGGAAAGTCAGTATGGGTTGAAACGAGCTGCTGCGTCCAATTTCTGCAGCGTTGTTCCTGCTGGCGCCCGTTGTGCTGCTGCAACTGCTTATTTTACCGCTAATGGCGTTGCTGCTGCTGCTCCGGGTGATGCCACGCCTGCTGCTGTGGCTCCCGCTGCTCCTGGTAGATTGAACGATGCAATGTTCGCCTCTGACGGTAACATTGGAGGAGTTGACTACATCGGTGGCTTGCTGGACATGATGGACGGCCTGGATGGGCTGGCAGGAATGGACGGACTGGATGGGCTTGACGGCTTGGAAGGGATCGATCTCATGGATGGGATGACTGGGTTGGGAGATTTTCAAGGCGTTACAGAACGGTTAAATGATGAGATGGAGGGTAATGAAGGGTTTGAGGGACATCCATGCATACAGGAGCAGCAGCTGGTGGCAGTGCAAGGGGGTTTCACTGAAGAGCCTCTGTCTATTGAGGCTCAGGAAGAGGAGAATTACTTCTGTGATGAAGCAGAGGATTACTACAGCGAAAATGAGGAGGGAGACTTTCCCAGGGGAAACGGAGAAGGTGTTGGGAGGTATGATATGATAGGGTATGACATGGCAGCGTATGACGTGGCAGCATGTAGGAGCAGTGGCACCCCTGCAAGTGGGGGAGGCAGCATACGTGGAGGGGAACACATGGTTGGTGCCGTGCCAGCCGTTTAGGTGCTGGCCGTTTAGGGACGTATAGGATTGAATAGGAGTAGGTGGTGTTAGGTATTAGGTAGAACTACTGAAAGGGTGTAGAGCTAATGAGTAGAGTTAGGAATGTGCCAGTGTAGGTTCTTGCAATTGTAAGAGTGTGTAGGAGTGCGTTTCTATAATGCTTTGCTTTCAGCTAGACTGCAATGGCTTTCTGAAACGTGTTCACTAACTGTTCTGCGATTAATGTTCAGTTCGCAAAAATGTATAACCCTCCTTAGGAATCAACACCTTCCAGCTGGAGCAGACCTTGCTGTCCCTCCCTCCTACCTATCGGCACTCTTCAAATGGTTTCCCTCGGTACAATGTGAAGCTGGCATTCCGGCACACGGTCTTGGGTGTGAATGGTTCTTGCTTGATGCTTTTTCGAAGCCGAGCGTGAATTCCTGGAGTTAGAAACAGGGGTCGGTCGGGAAGTGGTGCAGCTGAGAGACGCAAATAGGGAGGCAAGCTGACGAATCACACGACATAGATAATATTTACTGAAGGAAATTCACTAATTATCCTCTGAAAACAATCCACATCACAGATGGGCCACGATGGAATCAACTGAATTAAAAAATAGAGATTGGGAGTATGCATCAATTTCGGACCACTGAAGAGGGAGAGGAAAGAGAAGGTACCGCGAGGAGCAATCAAGGCAAGTTTGAGCCTGACGTAGATGCAAATCCAGGGTGTATGGTGACAGGCACAGGAGGTGAAAGGAAATATCGATGGAGAGAGGATGGTGGTGAGGAGGAGAGGTGGGAGCTGACAGGCGGAGGAGGTGAAAGGAAAATTGGGCCTAGGATGGTGGTGGTGAGGAGAGATGGAGGATCCATGCCGAGAGGATGTGAAAGTGGGAATCAGCACAAGTGGAGTCAAGTTGACGCCATTTGAAATCCATTCTGTTCACAATGAATCTTCAAGGCGCACATCGCATAGCAATGCGTTGACATCGCAACCTGGGGTTCTTTTGAGTTCGCAGTCGTGATTTGCAAAATGGGTTCGCAAAGGGCAACTGCACCCTGCGAATTGACGAAAGTCCAAAAAGTTACCATATTTGCCTGAGGATTTTGTCGCGGATTACTAGCTTTCGTTGATGAGCCAGTGGCCCGGGGATGTGTGGCTCAATAGGGAGCGCACCAGCAAGTGACACTTCGGGTTGCCTGGTATACCCTGTCCCAGCTTTTTATTCTGAACAGTGGAAATGCATCGAGTTCATGAACTGCAATTTCGAACAATTCTGTGGTTGCATTTGCATGTGAGGGAATTATTCTCGCCACGTGGATATCCAGGTTCAGATCTCCCCATAACTCGGCTCGCCTTGACTCACCTCACCCAGACAGGATGCCGACTTTTCAGGGTATAGGGGAAGTGTCTCATGCCTACGTGGCAAGGACCGTCGACCACAGATTGGACCAATCACCAATCCCTTCCGGACCCCTCCTCTACAAGGAACGCCCGCTAAGATCGCCATTGTGAGTCAGCCCAGCTAATCCTAGCCACTCATCATCGCCTGCCAAGCAGTAAGTGCATCTTACCACTACTGTGAACCAGCGCGGGAATGCTCAATCTTTCATGGCAGGCGGAACCTGGAAACTCATTCTTCCGCCAGCCGCAAGCCCATCACCTCCTCCCCCTTCCCTCCACCACCGCACACCCAGCCAACCGAACTTATTTCTGCGCGGTTCGTCGTTATCCATCTCTCCGTTGAACCAGACAGTGCATATAAAGCGAAGCATTGGCCTATTCGGAAGCCGCGTTCGATTTGTCAGTAAAATTACGTTTGGTCACTCTGTCGCCATGGCTGCTTCTACCAGCATTGCCGCTGGCTCGTCCCTGAAGCTCACAGCCACCTCGTCGCTTGGCGCGAAGTCCTCGTCTTTTCAGGAGTTTTCCGAGGGCTCCATTAGAAGCATCTCCCTCAAGAGCACCAAGCCAGCAGTGAGCAAGGCACAGTCCGGTCAGAGTGCCAATGGCAAGAACCGCATGGTGGTTAAGGCCATGGCGCCCAACGCGCTCGTGGACATCAACGCAGCTGATGAAGTCAAGTTCAAGGCGCTTGTCTCTCGCCGCGTCGTCTTCGACCATGCCGACTGGAAGGTAAGAAGCATTGACGCCAACCTCTTGCCTTGTGCCTCCACCCTCACGCATCGCTATATATAAATATCAGAAAGGATCTGTCCTGACGCAAATGTGTCTTCATTCCCTTCTCCCTCTTCGACTTGCTCTAGCTCCACCCTCTCCCTCCTTTCTCGTGTAATATTTCCCCATCCCTTCCCCGCTTCCCTCTGCCCTTCCCCCCTCCTCCCTTGTTCGCCGCGCTCCTCCTCCCGCTCCTTCCAGAAACACAAATCGAGCGGCCGTTACTTCAAGCACTTGCGCACCATCCTGACCTCCAAGGTCATCGGCGCGCTGGGCCCTCCGGTGTCAGTGATGACGGGCATCGCAGCAGCGGTGGTGGGGTGGAACGAGATGGTTGTGATGGGTATTCTGCCCGAGTGGGCTCCCGTGCTTCACATCTCCAATCTCCCCTTCAGCCTTACAGCGCCCGCTCTCTCCTTCCTCCTGGTTTTCCGCACCAATGCCAGCTACGGCCGTTTCGATGAGGTAAGCATGAGGGAGACCTGAAACGCATATGGATATGTGCCATGTGGCTGATAAATTGTCGAAACATGTGTTGCTAACTGGGAGACGCAATTCCTACCTGCGCCGTGATTCTCCCATCAGTCACACATATCTGACTTTTTTTTCCCTTTTTTTCGTGCGCTCATCCCGCCTGCAGGCTCGCAAGATGTGGGGGCTCATGCTGAATCGCACGCGCGACATCACGCGACAGGCGCTGTCGTACATGGCACGCGACCAGTACACGTACGAGTACCCCAAGCGCGCTCAGTTCATCCGCCACCTGCAGGCGTTCCCGCTTACCTACAAGCACCACTTCATCCAAGAGGGCTCGCTTGAGGAGGATCTCAGGGTAATTTCAGTACTTTGTCCGATACCAGTGATTGCGTCCTTTACCAGTGGAAAGTTTTGTATCGTCGTTCAATGTCTACACTAAATGTAGCTTCTCATCTCGTTTCCGTTCGTAATGTCGAATCAAGCTTTTCCGCCTTGCCCTCTCACCCGTGTACCCTATGCAGGATTTGACCAGTCTGACTGACGCGGAGATTGCGGGAGTTCTTGGGGCCACCCACCGACCCAACTACGTGCTTCAGATGATGTCAGAGTGCATGCGCTCGTGCACCATGGAGCCTGTCAACCGCCTCGCCATGGTAAGTGAGTACCCAGACGTTTTATGAACCGCCAGTAAGGAATCACCCCTTCAAGACTGTTTCACAATGTGCGGCGTGTCACTTACTGACAGAGCTTCTACACACAAGAGAATAGAGGATGTCTGAAGGTTCTGTTTCAGGAGGCTCAGTCTCATTTGGGCAATTCGTCTGTGCTTCCTGTTCTCTATGCCGCAATTCTCCAGGAGGCCAACTTCGCGACTTTCGCGGATGACATCGGAGGCAGCGAGCGTCTCTTCAAGACTCCCATCCCGCTCTCCTACACGCGTCTCACGTCGCGCTTCCTCGTCCTCTACCACATGTTCCTGCCTTTCGCTCTGTGGGACCCCCTCGGCTGGCTCACCATCCCCGTGACTGCCACGTGTGCGGCCGTTTTCTTCTGCATTGAGGAGGTCGGAGTGCTCATTGAGAATCCCTTCCCGATTCTCGCTCTTGTCGTCATCTCCCAATCGGCGCGCAACAACGCTGGGGAGCTCGTTGCCCTGCACGAGGGTATCAGGAACCTTGTTGCCGAGGATGATCTCGAGATGAAGAATTTGTCTGCCCGCAAGCAGGAGGCTCTGCTGCAGACGCCTCAGTTTGTCGCTGAGCCCGAGCCTGAGTACATGTCGGACTGGGATGAAGACGCTGCGGCTCTGACCCCCATTCCTCCTCCCCCACCACCTGCTGTGACCCCTATCGCTGTGCGCGGTCCGTACAGCGATTAAAATGTTCAGTAGGATGCATCATTTGTCAAAACCTCGTATGAAATTTTCTTTTTGCCAGATATTGGTTGTAGAGCGCCTTGTACTTGAATAATTGATTTGAATTTGGTAACGTCATCCATCATGCCATTAGCTTTTATAACACATTTTTGCCGGTTTGCTATTTCACTTGCTAGCTGCTTTGTCTGATGAAGAGTGGCGTCGTATGTCTGTCCAGAGATTGTTGATCCTTTCAGGGCTTTTTGAACAAATGTTATCGAAAATGTGTGATACTGTCTCATGTTTCCAATAGATTGGAAGTAATGCCTTCTCTATTTTTAGCTCAATCTTACCAGCATGTACATTTTGCTATAGGAAAGCCGACTGAGCTATTTTGAATAATGAAGCTTGAGCTCCAAGAATAGCTGAGGGAAGACCAGCTGAAGTTGCACCACGCCACACCAAAGCATCAACAAGTATGTAAGGATTTACAAATCCTTACTGAGGCACTCGTTATCGAGGCCATCCCGAGGGTCACGCGACGAACCTGTCCTTCCTATTTCGTCGCACCGAACCACTCCCGAGTCGCCTCCGCACCAATCGCAACCATCACCGAGCCATCCTCGCCCAACCTCTCCGCCTAGCTAGGACTTCCCCTATTTAGGCCTCGTCACTTCCATTGTATGGTAATTCAGTAATTCAGTAATCAGTCATTCTCGTTATTCGTTTTACTGCGCACTCTGCAAGTTCATTCATAACAAAGTACACATACAAATCGGCTGATGGTGGGCGATGTTTCAAAGGTGCTGGCGAAATCAAAGTGCCTGCACGAAAAGGGGTGCGCCAGCAGATCCTACAGCAAACTTGGGTGGCAAGTGATCAACCTTGGTCCAGCCGAGACAATGCCACGTGGATTAGCTTGTGACATCGAGGTTGGCCAGCTAGCAGCCCCAGTCTCAAGTCCCCGTGTTGATGGCAGGCTAAGCTGACATGTCATGCATCTGGTCAGATCACGAGTTGATACGCGGACATCAATCGCCTCTTTGATTCCGTCAGCAGAAGCCAGACTCGCTCAGCCTGCCAGTGACCTCATTCCTTTGCGCTGATCAAGTAGCCAATCAGCTCGCTTCGATCACATGAATCGGCTGATGATCCATCGTCTGCATACCATTCCATCTCAAATCGAACGGCTCTGCTTGACTCCAGCTCAAGCAAACTGCCTGGTTCCAGTTACTGTAGAAAGATCGAGATTTGAGTTGAGTTGAGACCACGCTGTGTGGTCTCCCACTTCTTGAATGGCGGCATTCCTGTGTGTTTTCACCAACGGCAACAAGAGCCTTCTGACAAGAGGGTGTAAAACACCTGCTTCATTTATTCACACATTTGCTTCGGAATTTTTATTCCGACGCACGAACGTCGGGACTCGGAATCCCCAACGCGTATCTTCATCCAGTAGTCACGTTCCTGAACGTCCAGGGATAATAATAGCACGTCTCTCGATTTCTTTAGCCAGTGACTGAGCTCCTTGACGAAAATGGCGGCGACGAGTGTCGCATCACGCACCTCCATGTTTCTGTCTCCCGCTCAGACCAGCCTGAAGGCTCAAGCTGCAGGTCTGCAGGACTGGACTGAGGGATCCTTGAGAAGTGTTTCACTCCGCAAGAATAGCGTCGCTGTCACTAAATCTCAGACTGTGCGGAAGAAAGCCAGAGGACCCCTGGTGGTGAAGGCAGTGGTTCCTAAGAATCTGGTGGATGTTACCACCATTGATGAGAAGAAGTTCGAGGCATTGGTGCTGCGACGGGTGGTGTTCGGCCATGATGACTGGAAGGTGCGTTGGCTTTCCTTCACGTTCACTGACGAACCGTGTATACGTCATCGTTTCGTGTTTCTTTCTAGCATCTGGCAACCGCTTCTAGCATCTGGCAACAGAAAACTTCTTAAAAAAATGATTATTTTTCAATTCCATGAACACCTTGTTGTCTCCAGAAACACAAATCTAGCGGACGGTACTTCCGTCACATGAAGTCCATGCTTACGTCTAAGGTTATCGGCGCGCTCGGACCCGCAGTTTCCGTGATGACTGGAATCGCAGCTGGTGTGGTTGGATGGAATGAGCTGGTCACGATGGGTGCATTGCCGGAGTGGGCTCCCGTGCTGCACATGTCCAACCTCCCGTACACCCTCACGGCACCTGCTCTCTCCTTCCTCCTCGTCTTCCGGACCAATGCCAGCTATGGCCGTTTCGACGAGGTGTGTTTGAAAGATCAGCCTTCATTTTCGTTACAGTTGCCTGCTATCGCGTGACGATGTGTGAGCATTGAAATCCGGAGACTCTTCTGTTGGATTGGTTACTTGCCGACTTCAAACTTTGACACTTACGCGTCGCGTCGATTCGTTCCGTTCATCTTGCAGGCTCGCAAGATGTGGGGGCTCATGCTGAATCGCACGCGCGACATCACGCGACAGGCGCTGTCGTACATGGCTCGCGACCAGTACACGTACGAGTACCCCAAGCGCGCTCAGTTTATCCGCCACCTGCAGGCGTTCGCGCTTACCTACAAGCACCACTTTCTGCAAGAGGGCTCTCTGGAGGAAGACCTTCGTGTAAGTAGCACTCGTCTTACTCATTTTTGCACTTAGGAATTGCAATGTTCATCTGATTGGTTTTGACGTTGATTGTATGACTTCTTCACGTTCCTTGCAGCAATTCACCACTCTGTCCGACGAGGAGATTGCGGGGATTCTGGGGGCAACCCACAGACCCAACTATGTGCTGCAGATGATGTCGGAGTGCATGCGCTCGTGCCACATGGAGCCAGTGCACCGCGTGGCCATGGTGAGTCCCGCATTTGTACTCGTCTGTTGAGTAATGCTTTCAAAAAGAGAACTCGTTTTTGGAGATCCGCAGAATATGCTCACATCCAGAGTTTAACATACAGAAGCGGCTATGGTATTGAACTTTTAACGAGCTCCAGAGTCCCATCAACAAATGCACAACTAGTTTGGGAGCACAGTGGCACGACCCCCTCCCGTGCATTGAAGCTGGGTGACCACTGCACCTTTGATGGGCTGAAGCAGATAATACCCAAATCTCTGGTTGTCTGAAGCAGATAATTCCCAAATCTCTGGTTTTCTGAAGCAAATAATCAATGAACCTCTGGGCGGAGCCAGATGATTCCCAATTTTTTGGTGGACTGAATCAGGTTATCTGGAGCCAGAGTTAGCTCCGTATTGCTCTTCATTTCCTTGACGAATCATCCCATCCCTCTAATCTTACTCCCTGCATTCTCCAGGAGGCCAACTTCGCGACATTCGCGGATGACATCGGAGGCAGCGAGCGTCTCTTCAAGACGCCCATCCCGCTCTCCTACACGCGCCTCACCTCGCGTTTCCTGGTCCTCTACCACATGTTCCTGCCTTTCGCCCTGTGGGACCCCCTCGGCTGGCTCACCATCCCCGTGACTGCCACGTGTGCGGCCATCTTTTTCTGCATCGAGGAAGTTGGAGTGCTCATTGAGAACCCCTTCCCCATCCTGGCACTCGACGTCATCGCTCAATCAGCACGGAACAATGCTGGTGTAAGTCTTCTTGCAATGCATCCCTGTACTGCCACTTGGCTGAGCCATCCTTGTCATCTGATGATTTCCACATTCCTGACAAAAGCTCTCCCCCTCAACCCCCTGAGTCGGCCACATCCTCCCATCCTGCCACTCTTGTCATCAGTGTTCCGCCCCATCACTCTCCCCACTTCTCTTCATAACAAGCTATTGTGGAACAGCATGACAGATTCCACAATATGGGTTGTGGAATCCGATTTTCGTAACTTCACAGTTTTATGCGCCCCCCAATCGCTTACCCTTCCGTCTTCCTTATGATATGGGTGGATCACTGCGTATGCAATGAAACAGCCCTCATTTCTTGCACACTTGCCGAGGCATTTGCCGATATTGGAGAGTGAGACCTTGAAACGAAGCAGCTCTCACTAGTATCTTTACCCCCCTGAATAATCTGCATGTGCATATTCTGATCTTCCCCCCCCCCCCCCCCCCCCCCTTGCAATCACAGGAACTGATCCCAGTCACGGGAAGCAGCTCTTAATCAGTCACATCCTGGCCTTCTCCTCCCTTCTTCCTCGACAGGAGCTTGTATCACTGCATGAGGGCATTCCCAACCTAGTTGTTAAAGACAACCTGGAGATGAAGCGCTTCTCAGCAGTCTCTCAAGAGGTGCTGCTGCATTGTGAATCGACTCAAAACCCTTCCTCCCTGCCTAATCCTCAACAGGAGCTCGTGTCACTGCATGAGGGCATTCGCAACCTAGTGGTGGAGGACGATTTGGAGATGAAGATGCTGTCAGCAGTCTCCCAAGAAGCACTGCTGCCTCATGCGCCTCAGTACGTACCTGAGCCCGAACCCGAGTACCAGTCCGACTGGGATGAAGACGCAGCTGCTCTTGTCACCACCCCCACACCGCCTCCTCCTACCCCCAATGGCCCCATTGCTGCTCGTGGCCCTTACAGCACATGATGTGGTGCGACGGTGTGGAGCCAATTCCTGAGCCCTCCCAAAAGAGGGAGTGTCTCAGGCTTCAAGAGTTTCTGGGAAATTTCCAGTGACTGGAATGGTGGATTGAATTATGGGTTTGTAGATTGTTCTAGTTAAGTGAAGGCTGCTGCCTTGGGCTTGCTGTACTGTATGCTAATGCTTTTTCAATTTCAGGTTGCCAACGGTGACGTATGGGGAATGTTCTCATGCTTCTTCAAACTAGTGTGGGCTCCAAGTTACATTCAAGGTCATTTTAACAACAAGAATGGTAACTAGTACCAATAGTATCAAAATAATATGTATTTAGCATAGAATTTAAATTTAAATGACGCCGAGAGAGCGCGGGTGTTTGGTCTAGTGGCATGATTCTCGCTTAGGGTGCGAGAGGTCCCGAGTTCAATTCTCGGAACACCCCTTTTCCGTTTTTTGCTCTGAGCACCAAGTTGTGCCTCCCTTCGTCTCCCACTAGGGTAAAGAGCCCGTGTGCCCTGCCCCAGCCCGTCGCGTCGCCCGTGCGCCCTGCCCCAGCCCGTCGCGTCGCCCGTGCGCCCTGCCCCAGCCCGTTGCGTCGCCCGTGCGCCCTGCCCCAGCCCGTCGCGTCGCCCGTGCGCCCTGCCCCAGCCCGTCGCGTCGCCCGTGCGCCCTGCCCCAGCCCGTCGCGTCGCCCGTGCGCCCTGCCCCAGCCCGTCGCGTCGCCCGTGCGCCCTGCCCCAGCCCGTCGCGTCGCCCGTGCGCCCTGCCCCAGCCCGTCGCGTCGCCCGTGCGCCCTGCCCCAGCCCGTCGCGTCGCCCGTGCGCCCTGCCCCAGCCCGTCGCGTCGCCCGTGCGCCCTGCCCCAGCCCGTCGTGTCGCCCGTGCGCCCTGCCCTAGCCGTCGCCCATACGCCCTGCCCTAGCCGTCGCCCATGCGCCTTGCCCCTGCCCGTCGCGTCGTCCGTGCAGAGCAGCGCGCGCCACCCGGGCATAGCAGCGCGCGCCCCTGCCCAGGAACGTGCACCCCAGCCAGGAACGTGCGCCCCTGGCCAGACATGCACGCGCCTCATGTATCTTCCTAGCCGCCCACACCTCCTCCTAACCGCCCACACCTCCTCCTAGCCGCCCACACCTTCTCCTAGCCGCCCACACCTCCTCCTAGCCGCCCACACCTCCTTCTCGGGCTTTCTCATCGTCGGTATTCCCGTTCCCTACCGTTCCTTCATTGGGTTCACCGTTCCACCGCCACTGGAGGCCGCTACTCCTAGTCCTAGTGTACCCTGGCGCTCCTAGTTGTTCTCGCTCCGTGCTGCGACCGCTCCTTGCCTAGTTTCACATGGCGCTCCTGTCAACGGGAGTTGTGTGTTGGCCCCGTCCTCGCTTGGGCGGAGTCGACTTCGTGGTCGGGTGTGAGGGGAGCAGCCGACCTACAGCAGTTGGCGAGCTGGTTGACGAGGAGGTCGACCTGCACGGGGGCCACTGCACGGGCGCCAACTTCAGGGTGGCGCCGACTTCAGGGAGGTCGACCTGGGAAGTCGACCTGCGGAGGACGTCAACTTGTTGACGTCAACTTGGGGAAGCCGACTTCGGTGGTCGGCTGACGGATTGCTGGTCGACTTGCTGGTGGTCGACGAAGGAGGGGCCGACGTCGACCTCGACTCAGGACGCCGAGCATTTGGGCGTCGAGTAGCTTGGCGTCAACTTCGTGACGCCGACTTCAGGTCGGCCGACAACTGCGCTGGTCGACATGAAGCTGGTCGACCAGGACTGCTGGTCGACGTGGAGCTAGTCGACCAGAAGTGACGTCGACCTGGAGCTGGTCGACCAGGAGCGTGGTCGACTTGGTGAGGTCGACTTGGAGGTGGCCGAGGACTTGGGAGGTTGACGGGCACGTACGGGAGCAGCTGGTCGACGTGGTTGCCCGGTCGACCAGGTTACCTGGGTGACGAGGTTCTGCGGAGGAGTGCGACGGTCGCCAAGACGAAGTTGGCGAGCCCGACCTCGGTGGTGGTATCCCGAGGTCGACGTGGCTGATCAGAAGCAGTCATCAGCACCAGGTTGACTTGGTGTGTGCGTTGTGCAGGTGACGAGGCTCAGCCCGCCAATCATCTGCGAGCACCTGCGAAGCAGGTGCGCTGCTGTTCTGCATGAGCAGCGCTGGCACGCCGTCAACCTGCGACGTTGGCACGCCGTCGACTTTGCACTGCTGGAGCGCAGTCGACCAAGTCGTGCTGGAACGCGGTCAACCATGCTGCGCTGGCAGTCGACCGACCTGAATGCTAGCTCTGATGTAGTCTTGCCATGCCAACTTCATTGTACCATTATTGTCAACTTTCTCTAGTGAAACTCTTGCCAATTCTCCCCGTGGACTAGCAAGCAATGTGTGCACTAGGAAAACGACTAAGGACCAACGAACGCAGAGATCACACGAGCACACGTGCCTAGCCCGTAGTCTAGCTCCCGTTGCAGCAGTTATCTTCGCAGCTCCTAGTTCTTCTCGCTCCTCGCTCCTGCCGCTCCTCGAGCCCGTACTTTCTAGCCTGACGTTTCTTGCTCCGGCCATGCCTCACTCCAGTCATTCCTCGTTCCAGTCACTTCTAACTCAGTTTGCTCTGAGCTCCAGCCGTTCCTTGCCTAGTATCACCTGGCGCTTTCCTAGCTGTTCTCGCTCCTGGCTCCCAACTCAGTTTGCTCCGTGCTCCGGCCGTTCCTCGCCTAGTTTCACCTGGCGCTCCTAGTTGTTTCCACTCCTCGCTCCTAGCTCCAGGCGCTCTTAGCATTCCGCCCCTGCACCCTGCTAGCCTTTACTATGGCGTCCACTAGAGTTCTCCAGCAGCAGGGACAGCAGCAGCTGCAATTTCAACAGTGAGAACCTCAGCAGCAGTGGCACCCTCAGCAGCAGTGGCGCCCTCAGCAGTAGTGGCACCCTCAGCAGCAGTGGCGCCCTCAGCAGCCGTGGGGGCCTGGTGGTTCGAGTAGCGTTGGCTGCAGCAGTGGCCAAGCCAGTTGGGGGGCTCGACGCGGTGGTCGCGACGTCAGCCCCTGCCAAACCGGATCCTGACTGGGCCTGGTGCTGCCACTACGTGTTGGCGTCCTGGCCACTCTACACACCGCTGCTATAGTCACCTCGGCGACCTTTACCGTGAGTGTTTTGGGTCTGAGTCGAGGCCACCGATCTGGCCCGGTCTATCTCGTTGTGGTTACCCTGTGTTTGATATGTCTATGGATGCTGCTTATTCTGTCACGTATGGGTCTCTTGGCTTGCGTGTACCTAGCTTAGGACCTTTGCCCGTTGCTAGTGTAGGTACTTGTGCTTTTTGTGTAGGTGCTTGTGTAGTCACAAGTCCAGACGTGACGATTGTTGTCGTGTCACTCTCCTTCATACTGGACTCAGGCACATCTCACTGCTTCTTCCGCGACCACACCACTGTCACACCTCTTTTGGCTCCAGTCCCAGTTGCCATGGCTGATCCTACTTCAGGACCACCACTCGCTCGCAGCTCGACCACTCTCCCGTGCCTGGCTCTCCCTTATGGTTTCCTCATTGGTCTCTACATCCCCTCGTTCTCTCGAAACTTGGTGAGTGTTGGATACCTTCGGGACCGTGGGATCACTGTTGCTTTTCCTGCACACGGGAGGACGGCGATCTGTACGGACGCTTCCACTGAGGCACTTCTTGGCCCGTTCACCAGGGAGCCCCACTTAGGTCTCTTCGTTATGCACACTATGTCCCCCCAGGTGGCAGATTCCGGTCAGGTGACTACATCCCCCCAGGTTGCTGTCACCACTCATGTCGCTGTGTCCAGTCTCGTCGGTGCGTTTTCGCTCTTGTCGGTCACTCTTTCACCCGATAGTCTTGCGGCACCACCGTCTAGGTCACCCGTCCCTCCCACGCCTCTGCAACATGGCTAGCCAGCGTCTTGTATCCGATCTCCCGCGTGTCTTAGAGTCGCTCCATCGTTCGACTGCGCCGCCATGCACTCCTTGCATCGAGGGTCGGTTGTGCGCCACCCCTCACTCCTCCTCCCTTCGTCCGGCCACCGCTCCCTTCCAGACCCTCCACTTGGACGTCTGGGGCCTAGCCGCTCATGCTAGGACCGAGCGGGAGCGGTTCTTTGTCGTGATCGTTGACGGCTACTCCAGGTACACCACAATATTTCCTCTTGCGAAGAAGTCTGAGGTGACTTCTTTGTTGATCCGGTGGCTTCTGGCCACTGAGGGCACTCGTGGTAGTCATGTCCGTTGTCTCCACTCTGACCGTAAGGGTGAGTTCCGCCCAGGCGTACTTGCAAGGTTCTGCGGCGAGCAGGGCATCACACAGTCCTGGACGCTTCTAGAGTCACCACAACAAAATGGGGTTGTTGAGCGTCGCATTGGCTTGGTCATGGATATCGCCCGCACTTTCATGATCCATGCGAGTGCGCCCCATTTTCCGTGGCCCTACGCAGTTTGCTACGCCTCCCACCAGCTGAACCTGTGGCCTCGTGTCTCATGATCAGGGGCTTCACCGACCAGTCTTTGGACCGGGTCCCATGGTGTTGCGTCGGAGTTTCATGTCTGGGGCTTCCTTGCGCTTGTTCGTGACACCTCTGAGGATAAGCTCTCGGTTCGCGCCATCCCCTGCATCTTCCTTGGTTTCCCAGTGGACTCCTCTGACTTTGAGTTTTACCACCCACCCCTCCACTAGTTCCTCGACTCCCGTGACATCCAGTTTGATGAGTTTGTGTCTTCCTATACCCGGTAACCCTGTCGAGGTCTCCTGGTTCCCCCCCCTCCTCTTTTCCTCACCCCCACTCCTCCTCCTGCTCCCGCTCCTCCGGTACCCCCGCCCCCCCTAGTTGTGCCCCGTCTACCCTTCTACCCTCGGGCGCGCGTCAGGTAGCGTCTCCCTCCCCGCAGTCCTCCTCACAGTCCCCTCAGCAGCCTTCGGCACTTCCGCGACAGGTTACTGTGGACTCCGGGGGTGTTGGAGCTGGAGGTGCTGCCAATGGAGATATTCGTTCTAGGGGTGCTCTTCTGAGGGGTGCTGGAGCTAGAGTGCTGGCACTGGAGGTGCTAGTTCGAGGGGTGGTGGAGCTAGAGGTGCTGGCGCTGGAGGTGCTAGTTCTGGGGGTGGTGGAGCTGGAGGTGCTGGCGTTGGAGGTGCCATTTTTGGGGGTGCTGGAGTTGGAGGTGCTGGCACTGGAGGTGCTAATTCTGGGGGTGTGGGAGCAGGAGGTACTTGCACAGGAGGTGCTAGTTCCGAGGAGGCTGGAGCTGGAGGCACTACTCTTGCGCCTCCCCACCGTCACAACACACGTCTCCAGGCAACTCGCCGCCGTGAGCGTGAGGAGCAGGAGCGGTTGGAGCAGGAGCAGTTGGAGCAGGTGAGGCAGGAGCTGCAACAGTCGAACCTGCAGGAGCAGCAGCAGTAGTGTTCGCCGCAGCCGCCACTTTTTTGCAGTGGCTGTTTCCACCAATGAGTGGCCTTCGGACCCTTGGTCTTCCCTCCGCTCCTCCTGTGCACTCTCAGTCTCCTTCCACGTACGGCCCTACGTTTCTCTCCTCCTCAGTCACAGTCGCCTCCTCCTGTTCTCCCGCACGTCTGGACCACTCATTGTCCTCCGCGTGCTCGTCCCTCGTCTCCTCTTTATGACCTCTGCACTAACTTGCTTCATTCTAGTCCTCCTCGTGCTGCACCTGTGTCTGTTCTCCTGTCACCACCTGCGTCGTCTCTCACTGTCTCCTCTCACCCTACCACTGCCTACTACTGTGCTACTCATCCTGTTGTCTCGCTTGTTCTCGCCCCTCTTGTCACCGACCCTCGTGCCTCTTCTTCGTCTGTCTCGGCTCTTACTGCCGCTTTCGCTGACTTTGCTTCCACCCGCTGCCTAAACTTTGCCACGCGTGTAGTGGCTGCTCCGCCTGCCCGTCCTTTGTCTACCGGGGGTGAGTTTGCCCTTGGCTGTGACGTCCTAGAGGACAAGCAGTTTGATCTGGAGTTCTTGGCAACCGCTTCTCCCTCTCTATGGTTGCTTTCCCCTAAGGGAGGCCCCGGTGCCCTTGACATTCCGACTCCTTGCACGCTCCGTGAGGCAGTGTCAGGGGAGTGGGCTTCTCAGTGTCAGAGTTAGCGTCTTGGAGAACCACAGGCACCTACGTCGACGCAATTCCCCCTCCCAGGGTGAACGTTGTTGGTGGCATGTGACTCTTCAAGGTGAAGCGGCCACCAAGATCACCGCCAGTGTTCAAGGCGCGCTACGTGGCTAGGGGTTTCAGACAGCGTGAGGGAGTTGACTTCTTCCAAACCTTCGCCCCGACTCCGAAGATGACTACTCTTCTGGTGTTCTTGCACGTAGCAGCACAGCGAAACTACGAGCTGCAATCCCCTGACTTCTCCACTGCGCTTTTCCAGGGCCGCCTACACAAGGAGATCTGGCTGCGGCGTCCTCCTAGCTTCACAGACTGTCAGAATCCCAACCACTAGACCATTAGGATAAAAGGGCTTGTTTCAGTAGCGGGTCAGTGCGCCCATAACCCCACAGGCGAACGCGTCTGTAACCCTCTCCAGGATCAATCGGGCATCCACAGTGCAGATCTACTGACACCCCCCCACACTGGGAGGCCCAGGACTAAGCACAGCGGCAACGGTCTATACCGTCACCCCCCGGATATACCCCCATGGGGGGCAATAATAAAACAGGTTTTTTCAGGGGGGTGGGCTTATAATCGAGTAAATTTATAAGCGCCGGCGTTTATAAAATGACATCTATATTTTTTTATATTTTTAAACACCAAACTGTAGGTCTCGTGCTTGCCCTTTCAATCGAGTCGAAGTTACATGGGGTCGTCTGTGAAATTCTCGCGTACGCTGGGAGACACACCCAATCTGACTCACATCCAGCTCCTGACAGCTCTTGCTGACTGGACCCGCATCCAGTGCAGGGTCCGAATGTGAAGGGAACCGAATCTGCAACATATCTGCCTGCTAAAGTAAAAATCGTTACAACGTTTTGTACACATTTCAAATATTAAAGTTTACGTGCGCTTATAATAAAACTTGTTTTTTCAGGGGGTGCGCTTATAATCGAGGAGGGGATATAAGCGCCATATGCCAATTAGAAGCGCCAGGCGCTTATCCTAGGGTGGCGCTTATATCCGGGGGGTGACGGTATGTGCATACACCGGGAAACGAACCCGAGACCGCTCTGATACCATGTCAGAATCCCAACCACTAGACCATTGGGATAAAAGGGCTTGTTTTAGTAGCGAGTCAGTGCGCCCATAACCCCCCAGGCGAACGCGCCTGTAACCCTCTCCAGGATCAATCAGGCATCCACAGTGCAGATCTACTGACACGGACACCTTCCCACATGGGACCAAGGCGATGTTCGGCAACACACGGAATACAGCGAGGGGGAGGGGGGAGAATCCAAATTCGAACCTAGGGTTTCTAGTTTGGGCTGGTCAACTTAGAGTCAACCAGCGTTGACTCCAAGTCCGGCGTCCAGGCGCAAGCGGAAAGTATGGGGGGGAAGGCGCGGACGAGCGATGCGGGAAATCGGGGCTCACGAAACTGCAGCCGCACGAAACGAAACTTTACGTGCTGAACAGTTTTTCTTCTCCCTGCTTGGATTTACTGTTGCGATTTGTTTGGGTATATCGTTTCAGAAACTCTTTTAACACCATAAATCAAATTTAAGGTTCTAAATGTCTTAATCAAATTTAAGGTTCTAAATATCCGTTTTTGCAATACGTCTCTAGTGACAGCAGTACTCGTTATTCTAGAGTGTTGGGTAAAATCGTAAACAAATTGCGTGGATGAGGGAATCCAATTTACATCCCCTGTGGATGAGGCCTTTCACGGGAGTGCAAATTGGATTCCATGGGCCCTAGGGCGGAGTTTTTCCGCCATGGGGGAGAATTTGGGGGAGGATGCGGCGCGGGTTACTATCTAGCATGGTGTTCGCGTCGCATTTTAGGCTCACGTTTGACATGCTTTTCAAAAATTTTGGGTCTGACCGAAGTGTTTTGCCTGGTTTGTACAGGTTGAACCTGGAGGCCCGGCATTTGTATCCCCCCCTCAAACCCCCTCCCAAGTGGTCCGGCGTTTGGCTGCCGAACATCGCCCATGTGGAGCTTGAGGCGACCATTCTACAGTCTCCACGAGTCACCCCATGAGTGGTACGATACTCTTCTCTCCACGCTTTGTGACCTTGGGTTTCCTCCTTCTTGAGCCAACTCGTTGTTGTTTGTTCGTGATGGTTCCACTGCTTTCTTTATACATGTCTATATCGACGACTTGGTCCTTGCTACATCAGACAGGCCAGCTATGGCTGAGGTGAAATCCAAACTGTAGAAGAGACTGTCAGAATGTAATTGTATATATCACTTTATAACTGCCTGCAATGTAGACTTAGTGTAGGTATCTTTCTTGTTAGGTGGTGCACCTTTATTCTCTTCTTTCATATTTGTACCCTTGAGCCTATAGTGAAACCATCCTTTTCTCCTTTTCACCTCACTCGATATTCCCCTTGAACCCTAAAACCTCAGCTACTAAGCTACCATAGCTATGGCTCCTAAGCCTACCTGTACTTATTTTCTTTACATGCTATCAGAGCATTTATACTCCTGGCCTGTGGGCCCATGCTTCCGCTGCCTTTTGGCGCACGGCGATTTTCTGCCCGCCGTGTGCTCGGGGAGCACGGCAGCGTCTTCCTGTCCGCGCGCGGGCCTGTTCTGCCCGCCCGTACCCTGCCCTTTGCGGCGCCCTGCAGAGGCGCCGCTCATGCTCGTCGCGACGCCCCTGCGCGACCCGTGCGTCGCCGCTCCTGCTCGTCGCGACGCCCTTGCGGGACCCGCGGGGCGCTGTCCCTGCTCGTCGCGGCGCACCCCCCCCTGACCGCCGCCTCTGCCTCCCCTGCGCCCGCGCCTGCTTTGCAGCAACGCGCGGGCCTGCTCTGCACCAGCGATGCCGCCCCTGGACACTGGAGCAGCCGCCACTGCAGGAGCCGCCCCTGGCCCCTGGAGCAGCCGCCCCTGGAGCAGCCGCCCCTGCAGCAGCCGCCTCTGGCCCCTGGAGCAGCCGCCACTGCAGCAGCCGCCCCTGGCCCCTGGAGCAGCCGCACCAGCAGCCGCCCCTGGCCACTGGAGCAGCCGCCACTGCAGGAGCCGCCCCTGGCCCCTGGAGCAGCCGCCCCTGGAGCAGCCGCCCCTGCAGCAGCCGCCCCTAGCCCCTGGAGCAGCCGCCCCTGCAGGAGCCGACCCTGCAGCTGCCCGCGACGCCGCTCCTGGACCCTGTGCAGCCGTGGGGGGAGGGTATGGGGGTGGCGGGTGTGGGGGTGATGCGTGTGGGTGCTACCCTTCCCCTCCTCCTCCTCCTACTTCGTCTCCCACTGCTGCAGCTGCCGCTGAAGGGGGGTGGATGTGTGGGAGCCGAGGGGGAGTGAAACTAGGGGTGCGGCAAGGGGTGCGGCAAGGGGTGTGAAAGGGGTGTGGGACAGGTAGGGGAGGTTGAGTGGAGGTGGCCGCCGTGAAGTCAGCAGCTCCAGTCGCCCGTGAGACCGTTGCGTCAGTCGCCCATGAGCCCGTCGCTCCAGTCGCCCGTGAGCCCGTTGCTCTAGTCGCCCGTGAGTCAGTTACTCCTGTCGCTCGTCTAGCCGCGGATTCAGTTACTCCAGTTGCCCGTGTGCCAGTTGCTCCAGTTGCCAGTGTGCCAGTTGCTCCAGTTGCCCGTGTGCCAGTTGCTCCTGTTGCGCCGTGTGCCAGCAGCTTCAGCTGCCGCCCACCACCTCCTCTCCTCTCATAGTCCCTCCTCCTCCTCACTTGCCCTCTCCGTCTGCTGCGCTCTGCTTGGTGTACCCCTTCCCGGGGTGTTTCTGCACATGGTTCTTCACTGCAGGTAGTTAGGGGGTGTGTCAGAATGTAATTGTATACATCACTTCCTAACTGCCTGCAATGTAGACTTAGTGTAGTTATCTTTCTGGTTAGGTGGTGCACCTTTCTTCTCTTCTTTCATATTTGTACCCTTGAGCCTATAGTGAAACCATCCTTTTCTCCTTTTCAACTCACTCGATATTCCCCTTGAACCCTAAAACCTCAGCTACTAAGCTACCATAACTATGGCTCCTAAGCCTACCTGTACTTAGTTTCTTTACAGAGACACACGTGCACGGACCTCAGTGAACTACAGCGCTACATTGGCTTGCAGATCACCAAGGACAGAGCCGCTCGCACCATCGCATTGACACATTTACACATGGTGCAGCAGGTCCTTCGTCGGTTCGAGTTTCAATTCTCCACCACCCAGCCCACTCCTCTTGCTATTGACCGCTGATTCACTGGCCCTTTTCCCGACTAGCCCTTTGAGTCCATATGTCCCTACGCAGAGCTTGTGGCCTGCCTAATGTACCCAATGGCATTTACTCGGTCGGACCTCGCCTTTCCCCTCTGCATCCTCTCTCGCTTTGTTGCGACTGGGAGACACCGTCTTGTTCACTCGACAGCTGCTGTGAGGGGGGCGAAGTACTAGGCGACTACATCAGGCATAGGGCTTGTGCTTGGAGGGACTCAGCCAGTTGGGTTGACCGGTCACTGCGACTCTTCCTACGCTGACGATGTGGAGACTCAGCTTTCGACTCAGAGTTACTGCTTCAGTCTGGTTGCTGGTGCTATATCGTAGAGGTCTACACGGTCGTCGTCAGTGGCTTCGTCCAGTGCAGAGGCAGAGACCTACGCTGGTGCCATGGCGACACATGAGCTTCGTTGACCTTCTTGCTCGACGACCTTGGTGACTGGCCGAGCTCTGCACCGACCTTATACGCTGACAACTAGGCCATGATCCTCCTCTGTCGAGAGCCTCGACTAGAGAGCAGAGTGAAGCACATTGACTTGAGGTACTTTCTCCTGCGAGAGTTGCAGCGAAGCGGCCAGGCACGCTTGGACTTTGTGGCCTCAGAGGCCAACACTGCCGACGTCTTCACCAAGGCCTTGGCGCTTGGTGACGGGCACAGGTTCTGTGTGCGGCTAGGGCTTGTTGAGGTTGGCCCTCGGTTGCTGTAGCTTGCTGTTTGCTTTTCTTGTTTTGCCTCTATATATACTAGTAAACTCTTGAACTAGCCTTGTGGCCACTTGC